AATCTTCATTTTGTTAATATTGAGACCAAAGTTTATTTTTAAAGTATCTTTTAAAAATTAAATTATTTTTAGAAAATAAATTACTTTTAAAAAATAAATTGTCAAAAATATACTAAAACAATTAAAGTATATTTATAAAAAAATAAATTCAAATATCATAAAAAAATAATGTTAAGTTAGCGACCGATTTAAATTCGATCGCTATTTTCTCATTAGCGATCGATTATAATTCGGTTACTATTTCAATTTGTAATTCGGTCGTTAAATCAGTCGCTAAATGATTTTTTTATTTTAGTGTGGAATAGCCACCGATTTAGCGACCGAAATTTTGCGACGCAAACTATTGGTCGCTAAATAACAAAATGAAAACCAATTCATATTTTGGTCGCTAAATCGGTCGCTAATTGCGACCGAATTAAAGTGGTCGCTAAATCGGTTGCTAATTGCGACCAAAATTAAATCGATCGCTAAATCGGTCACTAATTGCGACCGAAAAAATTCGATCGCAAATTTCGGTGGCTAAATGTGATTTTTCTTGTAGTGATTGCTTTTAATATTAGTTAAGTTTATTTAACTTTATGCGTGTTTACAAGAGTCAAATTAATATTTCACGTATTATATTGTGTGTATTATGTAGTTTAGGTAATTTAGTTTGTAATAGCTTTTAGTTTATAGATTATTGTTTGTATTGTATTATTTTATTATGTAGTTTAGGTAGCCTAATTTTTGTACTAGCATGGTGTATTTATTTAACTTTTGTAGTTTGAATGATATATAATATTATATTTTTTATTTACTAGCTAAAGAAACTTGAACTTCTCAACAATTATGATATATGTTTCAAGGTTTTGGTTGTAAGACAAAATAAATCCAATATTAAAAAAAAAGGACAAAATTTACGTTGCACATGTGTATATGCAACGTAAATTTACGTCGCACATGTGTATGTACGACGTAAATTTTATCCAATTTTTTAAATTTTTGAGTCTTTTACGTTTGTTAAATGATATATACAACGTAGATTAAGGTCGGATCTCGACAATTGACGTACGTCGGTCAAAGGGATCGACATAAATTTATGTCTACCATTTTAACATTATATGACGTAAAAAGTTCAAAATAAATAAAAAACTCGTTCTCCATTAGTAAATATATTTCTCTTTTACATATTATTTTTAAATCTTTCTTAGTTTGTTTTTATATATATTAACACTTTTAATATTGATGTTTTTATTTATTTATTATGCACTTATTTTTATCATAAGGATATATGTTTAAATATTTTTCAAAGATTTTTAGATTGTTCATATTTTTTATTTAAATATATTTTACTGTTTCTATTCTAGTTATTTTCATAATCTTGTATTTTATTATTCAAAATCATCTTGCAAATTAAAATGTTTCGGAATTTATATTTTTTATAGAAAATATTTTAATCTTTTCTACCAATTTTATAATATGTTATCTTTTCAACATTTTTTTATTAGTATTTTATCATTTACAAATATTTTTGAAATTATATTGTTTAAATTTTAAAATAATAAGAAATTATATTTTTTTATGGAAAATATTTTAATCTTTTCTATTTTTGAACATATTTTTTGAACTAATATATTTCTCTTTACATATTATTTTTAAATCATTTTTAGTCTGTTTATATATATATATATATATATATATATATATATATATATATATATATATTAACACTTTTAATTATGTTTTTTATTTATTCTACACTTAATATTTATTTTTATCATAATATTTTGAGTATATATGTTTAAATATTTTCCAAATATTTTTAGATTGTTCATATGTTTTATTTAAATATATTTTACTGTTTCTATTCAGTTATTTTCATCATCTTGTATTTTATTATTCAAAATCATCTTTCAAATTAAAATTTTTCGGAATTTATATTTTTTTATATAAAGTATTTTATTCTTTTCTACTAATTTCATACTATTTTCTCCTTTCAACATTTTTTTACTAGTATGTTTCTTGTTACATATTACATTTAAATCATTCTTACATTATATGCTATTTTTTTAACACTTTAACTTTTAATTTTTCATTTATTTATTAACCTTCGAATATATTTATTTTGATCATATTCTTCATAATATATATTTTTTATCATTTTTTTACTTTTATATTCTTTATATATATTTTTTGATTAGTTTTGTTATTATTTTAGTTAGTTTCACCATTCTTGTATTTTATCATTTAAAAATATTTTTGAAACTATACCATTTAAATTTTAAAATGTCTCAGCAATTTTACTTTCTTATAAAAAGTATTTTAATATTTTTACTAATTTCATAATATTGTCACCTTTGAACATTTTTATTTTGAAAATATTTTTTAGACTATAATATTTCTTTTTACATATTATTTTAAAATCTTTCTTACATTGATTATATTTTATATTTTTAATACTCTTAAGATTAACATTTCATATTATTATTATACATTGAGTATATTTATTTTAATCATATTTTTTTAGTATGTTTTTTTTAAACATATTCCAAACATTTTTAGATTCTTTATATTTATTTTTAAAATAGTTTTTACTGTTATTATTTTAGTTATTTTCATCATTCTTGTATTTTATTATTTAAAAATATTTTTTAAACCACTTTCTTTAGAGAAATATTTCACATACCCTTAGCGAATCCATAAGAATTGTAGTTAATTTTGACAAAAGAAAAAAAAAGAGAGATGTTTCCATTATTTGGGCAGTAAATATGTCACTTTTTTTTAATTATCACATTTGGAATTGATCAATTTTCTTAATACTAGTATATTTAGTCAAATTTGTTTCATAAATATTAAAATAAATTATATTTAATAAATAAAAATATATTTTATTTTATTTTATTATATTTTCATATTCTTTTATTATTTATTAATTATATATTATTTCACTTCAGAATCATTAGTAGTGATTAATAATTACTTGTAATATTCATGTAAATATAGATATATATAATTAATAAGTAGATTAATTATTTTATTATTTGTTATCGGGCCGTGTAGTCGTGCTTCTGCCATAGAATTCCACGTTCCACGACACGAGCAAGCTTGTCATTTGCCAATTTGCTGTCCCCTTAAATAATTTAAGGAGAAATTAGAAGATTTAGATTTTGGGTATGCTTCACCATCAAGAAGAAGAGGACATGTAAATTGTACCCTTACAATTGTTTAAAATTACCAATCATGCTGCCGCATACGATAAACCCTACCAAATGTGAAGTTTTTAATTTCTTCGGCTTTGCTTTTTGGAGAAAAAGCCAAAAGCCAAAAAGCTATCATCTTGTGGAATGTATTTTATCAGTGCTTCTTTCAAGATGTAATACAAAAATAAGGATTTGTTATAATGAGAAACTGATTGTTTTCATTTGATCAAAACCTCCGTGGGTTTAGTCATTTGATTTTCAAATAATAAAATCACTGTAACAAAAAAGACATATATTTCCTTTTACATTCAACACTTGAGTAAAAATCACATTATATTTTGGGTTGTTGAGATTGAAATGAGTGTGTGAAGTTCACATTAAGGTTTAAGGATATTCGAAAGTGTCTAACCACATTGCTTTAAGTTTGATGAAAGTTGGCACTGATTAATTAGGAAATGATATTCATTTGGTAGCTAATAATAATTTAATGTTGATGGATCTGCCTTGAATTATAAGAACTGCAGTGAACAACATAAACTGAACATTATCTTCAAATGAAAGCAACTTTTATCGCGGGACTGAGATTGTCAAGTCCTTTTCACTTCTACCATAAGAAACCATCTCTTAAAGTTTTATTTTTCTTCGTCTCTGTTTGAAGAGGCAAGATTAAAGTGAAGGTGGTTTGGATCATTCCGGCTATAAGATTCGATAGAAAATTGATTGCCTTAATAGACCCACTTCATTTTTTTCCCCTTAGTTAACCTATCTTGCAAGGTTTATCCTATAGTTAGCTAGATACAAATATACATTCAGCTCTGATAGACAGCAAGCGAATCTTTCTTTCTTTTCAAACAGAGCCTAATTTTTGTGGAAAGTTACTTTGATTAGTAATGTCCCACAGGATTAATTCTTGGTGATTCTGTGTATATGGATATGGATCAATCTATTTATAAAATTTATATGTCATGAGTTGTTGGTAGGAAAGAAGAGGAACATGGTTGTCAACCTGTCCTTGTCGACTGAAGTCATCCTTCAATAACCACTAAAGCATGAGCAGGCAAAGGTTATTTAACTTTGTCCAAAGGACAATGCCCGATAACATCATTTAACCGTCGTCACCTTCCTAAGCCAAAATTCCCTCCGCAAAATACCAAGTGATGGAAAGGAGAAATTCCTGATGTAAATACAAATATATATGGTCATCCTTATTTATTTTATTTGTGTATATGTACTAAGTTTGTAACCAGAAAACAACAAGAAAGAATTTATTTGGTTTAGTTTCATGAGAAAATTGAGCACCATCATTCATTAAGCGCAATATCACACTTTGTGTTGTCGCTGCCTACGAAATGAAAATAATTGAGTCTTTATCATGACACTGACCTAATTATACAATATTATTGGTGGTGTGATTGCAGTTAAAAAGTCTTTTGTTTTCTCAAAAAAGTGTATTCATAATTCAAGGTGGAGTCGTTGTTATATAGGGATTAGCTACCCACCATTTAATTTCAAGTCTCCATGGGCAGCAAATCAAACAAATCCACCACTTCTCATCCTTCCTTAGAGGCAAATGCAATTACTCAGATCACTCGTAACTCATTTTTACCAAAAGAAACTTTATTATGAAAATGTAAGATGCCACAGTATACACTACTACTTTGATATATTCATAATACAAGTAGTGTAACATTTATTAACATTGTAATTAATTTGTACGGAGAAAAAACAAAGATTATTCCTTGGATTGATGAGGGCGACGGCAGAAAATGGAGTTGAAAATTGCATGCATGGATGAGATGAGAATCATGGAGATGATGATCATCACATAATTGAGCAGGCAGAGGTGTTGTCTTCGCAGAAATATTCATCGCAACGGCTCACGTAACAAGGCCTGCCCCCACCGTAACTGTCATAAACAGGTCTTCCGTAATAAGCCTCATAACATGGTGGGGGCCCACCGTACCCATGAAAGCACGGCCCACCTTCCCGACCTTCATAGCATGGTACACAGCATACTCCGATCGGAACCGCCATCGGCGGCGGAACTGGCGCTGGCGGACACACCGGCATCGCTGGCGGACCCACCGCCACCGGGGGAGGGTTTTCAGGCTTCGGAGGGGGTGGGGGATTTTCCTTGGGCTTTTCGGGAGCCTTGGGCTTCTCTGGTTCTTTCGGCTTCTCAGGCACCTTTGGCTTCTCTGGCACCTTTGGCTTCTCTGGCTCTTTCGGCTTCTCTGGCTCTTTTGGCTTTTCTGGTGCCTTTGGTTTTTCAGGTTCCTTAGGCTTTTCTGGTGCTTTCGGTTTCTCTGGCTCTTTCGGCTTCACGGGTTCCTTGGGCTTCTCAGGTGGTTTGGGCTTGGGAGGTTCGAGGATTTCAATGCTTTTGATAATACCACAACCTTTGCAGCAAATCTTGTCCCTCAACTTCTCAGGGTTACAGCATACCACCGTGATGGTCACCATGCCATGCTTCTCGTCATACACCTGGTCTCGAATTTCTCTTGTTCACAAAATTTTCAACACCCGAAAATCAACTCAATTTGATTCTCTTTTCATTCATTTACCACACTATACATCTATATTTTACTTTACTTTGATTTCGATAGCAATATATATTCATCATGCAATTTCCAGTTTTCAGTAACAAAGCATTTAACACTAGATCAAGTTCTAATTAAAAAAGGAAGAGTAGTTGATTGAGAATTGGGCACTCACGAGGGAATTTGCAGAGAATTTTCTTGACCTTCTTGTAGCATTTGTGGCACTGAAGATCAACCTCGAGCCTCATTATGGTGACCTGATCAATCAACGTGATCGATGAGATAGAGAACGATTCATCGAATTCAATAACATGTGACGGTTTAATTAATCTAATCAGCTAGAAGCAACAAGTAACACATTTACTTAATGAATTAACAATACGACCGCAAAGGTTAAATAGTTATGAAGGTGAGAGAGTATTCAATTAATTTGAAGATGAAAAGAGAATATGCATGATGATGATGATGATGATTAGGACATGGACGTACCTTTTCAGCCATGGCAGTGATGAAACAAGACAGGAAGGAGGGATAGAGAGAATGGAAAAGAAGTGTGAGGAGTAAGCTAAAGAAATGAAAGGGGGAAAGGAAAGAAGGGGATGGAAGCGGGTTAAGTAAGCAACGGGTCAAACAGAAGAACCAATACGATGAGAACACGTAGTGTTACGTTACGTTACTACGTTGGAAATTGTCGGTATGTGGAGTGGTGTGGAGGAGCAATGCAGCGAGGACTAACATTGCCGACTCTGCAATTCACCACATCGCATCTGCTCCTTTCACTCACGCGCTTCGCCTCTCCAATACTTATTTCTAGTACAATATGCACACGCATGCTCATCTTTTCATATTTTTCTTTACTCTAAATATTTCCTATTTATTTTATCTCTATGCATTTACTTTTTATTTGATATTTAAGATATTTACATAATAATAACTTTATTAAATAATGCTTTATTCAATTATCAAAATTTCCTCAATGGTATTATTGAGAAATATGAAAAGATAAGGAGTGAAATGCGGAATTGAATAACAATTTGTAAATATTGATTGGGGTTTCAATTTAGTTTGGTGATGCGCATTGATGATTGTGTGCCAAGACTTTCCTATTCCTACCCTATACATCTACCTAAACCAAGCTTATCACATCCTATCCTTTATTACAGTAACTACATCATTCTTTCTATGTATTTGTCGTATAAAACAGTTAAAACTTTATTAAATTTTTTTTATTAATAGTATTTATATTTTTTTAAATTTTGGAATGTTTTATATATAATTATTATATAAGATAAAAAAATACACAATAATTTTATTAAAATAAAAAAGTTATTTTATGAAAAAAGGGTTTCCTGGCGCACTCGTCTCTGTTCCCTTTGTGTGGCTTACTTGATGCAGAGAGTCTGTAACAAGATACTTCTCCAATAAGCTCCTAACAGGGTCCATAATGGCAATGAAATTTACTTGATTTTACTAAATTAGTATGATTTTTTATATAGGCAAATTAGTTTGATACTAAAGTTCTATTACTAGTTGTTGAATAAGAGAACTTGGAGAATTGGCAAACAATTTTTTTTTTCACACAATCAGTATATAAACTGGAACATCAAACAAAATTACATGTTAACCTTCATTTGAACATACATGTTTAGGGTGAACAAAGGCTATGGCAATGTTCTGAAATGGTTGTCTACAAATTCATTTATACCAACTTCTACTAACCCTACCCTACAATTCATTCTCACCCCACCACACCCATAAAATTCAAAACGCCCTGAACCTTCCTTCCTATTTGCCCTACGTTGGAATTGAGAATAGTCCACATCCCCGCCTCGGCTTGGGAAAGTGTACACACGCTTTCAAAGCGATGTCATTGGCTCAATAAAATATCATACTATATATATATTCATATATAAAAATATGTAATTTATAGTTTTTATTATATTATTATTCTATACTAATTTAAATTTATTTATTTTTAATTAAAACTTTAAAAAAATACATAATTTTATATTTTTATTTTTATTAACTTTTTATTTTATTAAGGTTGAATAATTTGTTGAAGGAATTGAAAAATGCATTCAAAACCTTAAATTGCTACCAGTATATATCTTCAATACAAGAGTTACTTCAAGCAATTTACATACAGATTTTCCATTCGATATGTTCTTCCACACTTTACTTTTTTAAAAATAAATAAATATATATAGAGAGAGAGAGAAAGATATATTAACCCTTTTGATATATTTGTTTTTAAAATTTAAAATAATATTAATTCCTTTATCAATTATGTTCAATTATATATATATATATATATATATATATATATATATATATATATATTATGATTAAAATAAAATAAAATAAACAGATAAAATAGATAAAAAGCATCATTGGTGAATTATTAGTCCATCCTATAATAAGTATAAATGAAAGTAACATAAATAATATATACAGTAAAATTCTCATTAAAAAAATGTTTCTAATTGTTTTTTTTTTTCTGAAAAAACAAAGATTGGGCTAACTGTATAACTTTTTGCTACATATTATTCCATTCGTTCTACAATAATTGGTATTTAAGGTTTCTCACTACATAGATCAAGAAAAAAATCTATACTAAAACAAACTCATGTTCTCTGTAAATGTGTAACGTTGATATACTTCCAATACAAATAGTAATGTAAAATGTTTTGGACAAATTAGAAGAAAAATAATATTTAATTAAAATTAAAATTTATTAATTTTTTATCTACACAATTAATGCATGGATATTAATAAAGTCCCAAATCAAAATTAACTGCCCAGATTAGTATTTTGTTACCCAAATCACAAATCACAAATTAAAATTTAATTTATTAATTTTGTTACCCAAATCACAATTCAGTGCCACTATAATGTGTCATTACACAAACTGCACAAAAGCCTTTTTGCTTTTGAGCTAGAGACATCTCATCCTAAAAACTCTTAACAACAATTGGTTCTGGATTTGTTATTTGAATTATTTGGATTGAGCTCTTCATTTATGACTACTTCATCAACAGTTTTTCACTGTTTAACTAAGGACTTCATTTTTTTTAATAAAGTATTTTGCAATATTTTATTTCTAAAATACTTTTTTTGGATTGTTTATTCTCGAATCTATATTATTTTACTCATTTCCAAATTATTTATTCCATAAAACTTCTGATTAAGTTAGTCCAAAACTTATTTATTTTACCTCACAATAAAATTAGGGGTGCAGGAAGTAAAAACCTAACAACATAGGGTACAATGAAACACTCCCAGCCCATGCTATGTTGGGCTGAAATTGGTTCCGAATCTACTTGATTACTTATCACGGGTATCTATTTCCAAACCAAAAAATAATTATCTCACTGCGTTTTTTCAATTTTAATGGCTCAAAATATACCTACCCTTCACTTCCCCAACTTTGCTTCATGTTGTAAATGGTGATACACTCATTGTGCAGGTAGGATAGTCTCAGAAATAATAGAGACTTTCTTGAATTTTCCTTTAAAATTCATCACCTTTATTTAAATATGTATAATTTAATCGAACCTAACTAGTTCATTATACAAGGTAATAAGTTTAAACAATATGAATTAACTTTGCTTCTTATTTGCTTTATTCTCTTTTCGAAATAAATTTTTGCTGTATCAATATAAGAAGATTATCAGAATACTTTATATTCAATATAGGCATTATAAATATGCAATAATAATTATTACGTATGAATCTTTAAATGTTGGTTTCCACGGTTTGAGAATACTGTGATGTCTTACATTTGATAAAATCTCAATTTAATATATAATAATAATAATAATAATAATAATAATAATAATAATAATAATAATAATAATAATAATAATAATAATAAAACATCGCTGTTCAATATATAATATGAGACTAATTATTTTGAGGTGATCAAACATCCTATTGGCTTAGTTATTTGATTTTCAAATAAAAGAAAAACTTTAACAAAAAGACATTTATTCCGTTCACAATCAACACCATCACTACAAATAAACATGATTAGAAATATGAAAATTTAAGATATCACAGAATCCACTACTACTTTAGATACATGCTTTAAAGAAGTAGTGTATAGTTTATTAACATTCAATTTAATTTCTACTCACCAAAACCAAACATTATTCCTTGGACTATGAAGATGATCATCACATAACTGAGCACAAAGAGGTGTTTCTTTCACATAACAAATATTCATCCCACAAGTAACAGGGCCTGCCTCCACCGTAACTGTCGTAAATAGGTTTTCCATAATAAGCCCAGTAACATGGTGCAGGCCAACCATGCCCATGTAAACATGGGCCACCCTCCCGACCTTGGTAGCATTGCATGCAGCAGCATACCCCAATCGAAACCGCCATCGATGGCTGTAGTACTGGCGGCGAAGGCAGAGCTGGTGGCCTCCGTGGCGCTGGTTGCCCCGGTGCAGCTGGCGCTGGTGGCGCAGGCTTTGGTGGCGCAGGCTTGGTAGGTTCGAGAATTTCAATGGTTTTGATAATACCACGGCCTTTGCAGCAAATCTTGTCCCTCAGCTTCTGAGGGTTACAGCACACCACCGTGATGGTCACCGTGTCATGCTTCTCGTCAAACACCTGGTCTCGAATTTCTCTTGTTCACAAAATTTTAAACACCCGAAAATCAACTCAATTTGATTCTCTTTTCATTCATTGCCACACTATACATTTATATATTACTTTACTGTTATTTCGATAGCAATATATATTCATCATGCAATTTCCAGTTTCCAGTATCAGAGCATTAACACTAAATTAAGTTCAAATAAAATACAAAAATGAGAATTAGGCACTGACGAGGGTATTTGCAGAGGATTTCCTTGACCTTCTTGTAGCATTTGTAGCACTGAAGATCAACCTCGAGCCTCATTTTGGTTTCCTGATCAATCAACGTGATCGATCAGATAGAGAAAGATTAATCGAACTTAATTTCAAGATTGTGCATCGAATGCAATAGCATGAGATTGAACTTAATAACGACATAAAAAAAGTTAAATACTTATCAAAGTGAGTAATAAATTAGTTTGGAGATGAAATTTGACCAAAAAGAGAATATATAAGATGATTAGATAAGAATTAACACATCCACATACTTTTCCCACCATGATGTGGAAATATGTCTAGGATTTGAGGCAAATATGAGATTAAACTAAAGGGTGGAAAAGAGTGAGTAGTATGCAAGTATAAATAACGGAGATAAGCGATAGAGGTGGGTTAAATAGGCAACAGGTCAAGAAAAAGCAATACCATGTGACTTTTTTCTTCTTCTTTTTCTAAGTACAAAAATCAAAATATTCCGAATATATTTATCAAAGGTGACCCAATTGTTTTGAAGGTGAGAAATCGATTTTCGACACCTTGTTTTGAATTTAATTTATATCATACATTTTTTTTTATAAAAAGTTTTGTTTTTTTTTTAAATAAAGTTAAAAGAATATTTTTAAAATTTAATAATTTATGTTATACTCGTAAATAATGAATAATAATATACAATACTAAACTTAAAATAAAATAAATTGTATAATAAATATGAAAAAAATATGAACATTAAATATCTTATAATCATCATCTATTTTTATATTTTAAGGTTATTTATTTTAATATGTAATTACTTTAATTAAGCTAGTTTATAGTGTAAATAATATGTTTATCCACATCCCAATAAGGTCTCAGCATATACGTTATATATTAGTTATCAAGTTTCAAGGATTCACAACTAGAAAGAGAGTAAAAAAAATCATATCTTTGTTATATAGATAACTCTTCAACTCATACACGTCCTCTTGTCTTTATATATATAAGAATTAAGATGAAATTTCATAATCTAATTATATAATAATATTAAAATATATTTAAAATAAAAAATTATGACGAAATTTTATAAATTAATTATATATAAATATAATTATCATCGTATTCAACTAATTTTAGATAACTAAATTAAATATTTTATTATTTTTCATAATAAATTTTATGAACTCACAAAATTTTAGTAAAGAATTTATATCTAATAAATTAATATACATGGAAGTCTTAATATGAAAGTAAACAAATTATTAATGAAGGTATACAAAATACTCAACTAAAAAAAAATAAAAAATAAAAACTATAAATGAATCTTCAAACTATACAACAACTCATCACTTATTTATATATATATAAAATAGTACCTACAATAATGCAATGCATGTAGGACAAAATTAAAAGGTTACTAATAAATAAGAAACCTACTATGAGGCCTCAAGAAGGGATAGATATTACTTGTGGTAAGTCATTTTGATTGTGACAAATACTGAACTGGTGCTTAGAAAATATAAAATTCATAAAACGGCGTCACGTAAGGTTAGAAAAAGAAACTTTTTTAAAAGAACACTGGTATGGAGGAAAGTCAAAGAGACTCGGAAAATAAATGGAGAAGAAAATTGAGATGAACCATTCTTTATCATATTTACTCACTACACACCTACAAATTACAAAAGTTGAATGAAAGGTTCGTTCTACGAACTTAAAATACAACACATTTAATTTCATATTACAATTTGGAGCATAATAATCTTATTCGGATATATAAGTATAAAAATATAACATCTTATTCAAAAGTATAAATATAAACGTATCATATCTTACTTGAGAATACAAATATAAATAAATTACAAAAAATAACCATTTTATCGTCCTCAGGGATTGAATACTTGTTGAATATCAGAGTATTAATTTTTTTTAAGTTTGAGTAATCAGAATTTACAAGAATGACAACAGAAAATATAATTTTCTTTTGCAGTAGAATGTATGTTAGAGGATTAATTTCATATCATTTCCTACAAATTCCTAGCATATTTAATTGATGCAAGAATTAAATTTACCCACTAGAGTTAAACATCTTATTCACTTCCTAATCCCTTAGGTAAGTAAAATTATTCATTAAACTTTTAACTTCCCAATCCCTTGGAAAAAGAAAAGTTCACTGAACCTTGGATGGTTAAAATTTTGCTACACAGAAACTAGCTAAGCTTGTATAATTTTCCAATTAAACAAAAACTCAACTTACCTTATCCATCCACATAAACAGTATTAATTTTTCCAAATATAACTGCTTCAGATTAAACATTAAAAACTATAGATAAAGTATTGGAGTAAATGAAATTACAATGCATCAAAATAAATAAGTTCAGAATTTGTCTTATAGAATATTACATTAATCAGTGGCGGATCTTCTTGGGAGCTGAGGGAGCCGTGGCCTCCAAAGTTTTATAACTCCCATGTAATTTATGATTTTGGCCCCCCAAACTTAATAAATATTTAATATATTTACTTGTATATTTACAATTTTATCCTCTCAACCCTCCTCAATTTTGTAACTCCCATGTAATTTATGACTTTGTCCCCCTCAAACTTAATGATCATTTAATATATTTAAATATATATCTACAAATTTATCTTTTTACCCTTTCATCTTCTTTCTTCCTTTTATATTTATTTATTATTTATTAATAATATATTATTTTATATTTATTATTTATTAATAATATATTATTTGGCCCCCCAAGATCAATGGTCAAGATCCGCCACTGTTAATCCTCTAACATAGGAAAAATTTAGCCTTCCATCAAAGTTTCTAAAAACTCTAAAAACCTAAAAACTTCTACGCTGTTGTTTTTTCTCTGCCTCTTTCTCTCCTGATTTTTCCTCTCCTCCGCTTTTAACTTTCTTTTTTTCTTTCTTCATTTTCCACGTCAGCCCTCTTTTTTGAGCTTCTGTCTTTTTCCAGCTTCAGCCCAAGCCTAATAGCAAAGAAGTTAAGAACTCTACTGGCAGCCTATGAGTGATATCAGCCACACAAGCCCACACCAAAATTGTTCTAATTGCACCTGCTTTTTTCAACAAAACATAGAGACTACACTACAAGTTAAATGCAACGCTAAATAAAACAAACATTGTTCAGCTGTTACAAAAATTGCATGTAATTGACCTAATTTAACCTATAAATGTGAGGTAAAATAAACATGTATCAAAATCTCTTAGGCTTAAGTCTTTGCTTGTCCTCAAGCAAGGAAATTTCAATGAACAAAGATGATGCAAGTAAACTGACTCAGATTATCATAACTCAAGTTCTAATTCCCAAAGAAATAATTTCCAAGCACACCTCTCATCTTTTTTCCCACTTGATTTATACTCACTTGAACTGCCCACATACTAAATCACGTGTAACCAAAGAATTGCAAGACATATCATCACTTGAGTATTATGGATCAGTGTTTGAAATTAATCCTCACAGTGTTTCTCTCTATGTGAGTGTTTCTCTCAATCACACATCATTTCTATGAACATAAGCATTGATATGTTCTTTCCACTGTCACCTTAAAAAAAATTATAGAGGTTCACAAGGTCTTGAAAGGGTTGTAATGGGGTTTGGCTGATGAAGAAAAACATGGTTTTTCTGGATAAACAAAGTTCCAAACTCCAAAGATCAAATTGAAAATGAGAATGAAAAATAATGGAACTATTGAACCATAACTCCTTTCTTTCTTGTGATAATTCCACCCACAACTATTATTCTCAATTTCTTCCTTTCAGACTCGATTTTTCCTGTAATTTGTATTGATGAACCCCTCTCTTTCGAAAATTTATATGTGATCTGCTTGGTTCTCTTTTTCTCTCTTTTTTTTTTAAGAGAGAGGTGACTTCTGAGTTTTGATGCACCGAGTTTTTTTCTTTTCTCTTCCCTAAATGAATTTCACTTCTCTGATCCTTAGCCCACTTCCACTTTCAATGTGCTCTTTTAGTTTGGTTCAGGTGGGGATTTGGCAATTGTAAGGGTTTCAGGGTCAGGAATAAGCTCAAAAGGGTTTATTAATCAGGGAAATATTTTGAAACTTGGTTAAAAATCTTGCTTTGTGCTCACAAGGTTCTTTAAAAATATACAAAATTTGCCTTAACCTTTCCAAATTTTTCATGCAAAGGTAATTGTTTCAAGAATTAATCAATGCAAACACATATGTTATGATGGTATCACCCAGTACTGTGGGTATGAGTGTTTGGTGTTCTCGCTCACTGGTCTGGTTGAAAGTTTTCAATCACTGATCTTTTCATGCCAAGTTGAGACAATGTTTAACAATTCTAAAGTCATAAATAATTGGCAGAGTGCAACCACACAATGAGTCCAGCAGTGTATTGGCTCTGAGGCATGCTCAAAATGTGAAGTTTAAAACTTGTGGTTAAGACAATCTAAGGTGAAAATGATCATGCAATGCTACGTGTTATATGTCATGCTAAAACAAAAAGAACTCACAATTAAAACTAAAAAAAAAACTATTTAAACAGTTAAATATAAAGGACTGTAAAAACAGTAAATCTCCCAGGCTTAGATGTTTCCATGGTCCCCACTGGAAACATTAAAGACATTTAAGATTGGGAACACTCACAGACTAATGCGGACGCGTGCAAAGCACGGTCAACGTTTCTTCCAACAGTTGTTCAACTTTGTAATGGTGCTCTCTCTGTTCTTCTCTGAACTGTTGGAATTTTTGATAATGTTTGTTTTGCTGGGCTTGGAGACGGTCAATGGATTCTTGAAGCTGGGCGAACTCATTTGGTCTGGGTTGGCTAGGAGGGTTGACGAATGGTGGAAATGTGGGATTGGGGTTGGGATCGCAGTCCTCTGCTGAAAAAGTCCAATTACTGAGCCCTCAAACAGTAGTGAATTTTGGATTAGGCAGCGGTTGCGCTGGCATGTTCAGCTCATCACTCATCACCAGGCAGTATTGTTGTTCCCATTTTGTAATCACCCCACTGGTTTGTAGCAATTCTAAGTCAATGCGTGGATTTCCTAAAATTGGATTGTCTCCTTCCACTGGAATGTTGAAGTGTAACGCAATTGTTGTGATCAGACCCCCAATGGTAATGTGCCCAGAAGAAGTCTTCCCTACCCGAAGTAGTTGTCTGACGATCCATGATCCCGTGTTTAATTGGGCAGCATGCACCATTCCCCACAAAAATAATAATTCAGTTTTCCGCACGGCATTGTGGCTTTCCCCCCTAGCAAATACAGTGTGGGTCAGTAACCTATGAACATAACGAAAACAATTATTATGAATGGCGGTTGCCTTTGAGTCTGAGGATAGAAAGGCATGTGACCCTGTTAGCTGGTGCCAAAATGGGGCAGCGCTGAAATTTTCTGGATAAGTGTTGGAGCCTCCTGGGGGAAAGCGAAAAATGGCGTTGAATTATGTTAGAGTTAAGTCAAACTCTTGGTTGTGCAATCGAAAGGAGATTGCTCCGGCTGCCCTATTAGTGCCCCTCATCAGTTTTACAAATATTGAACTGAGGAATTCTAACGTGAGACGTTCATAAGCAGGTTAGCGGAGGGAGATGAAATGGTTCTATCCAAGGCGACTGAGCAGCCATTGGACTTCTTCGAGCATTCCTAACGTGGTTAGAGTTGACTCGTCGATATAATGGGTGGGTAGGATGGTCCTATTGTTCAGGGAGGTATACCTCGCGTATTGTTCAGCGTCGGGAAAGGTAATGCCATGGCGGTTGTCCCTTGGTGGAGAAAAGTTGGAATCCCAGTTTGACTCGCGGCTGGAGTGTTTGGATGTCTCGTCGGTGAAATCTCTGGTTGACGCTTCTCTGGTCGACTCATGGCTGTAGTCATTGGAAGATTGGGTGCTTGAGTCGCTGGCCGACTCATGGCTAAGATCCCTAGTTGATTGGTTGCTTGAGTCGCTGGTGAGCTGCTATCGGAGGAAATATGGAGTGGACTCGTTTGTGGTATCGTAATTGTTGGTCTATTTTCCTGAATGTCACAGAGACGTTGTGAAAACCTAGTTGGAGCGCGGACAAGAGCTTTTGACAGTAGTGATAGTCTGGGAGGTCTATTGGTCATGGTCTTCTTCCCCATTGAAGTTGTGGTTGAAGTAAGAAGCAGTGGAAGTGATGAATCGAAGATGAGAGATGACAAAGCAGAGGTGAATCGGGTTAGAGAAGAGTGTAAAAGAGACGCAGTGAAATTAAAGTTACTAGGAACTCTTCTGAAATAGGTGTAACTGCTGGGCTAGCCTCTTTGCTTTTTATTCTTGAAAGGTGGTCAGCTACCACATTTTGTTTTCCCTGTTCATCTCTAATTTCCATATCAAACTCTTGTAGTAGGAGAATCCAACGAATTAATCTTGGCTTAGCATCCTGTTTAGCAAACAAATACCTCAAAGCAGCATGATCAGTGTAAACAATAACCTTAGACCCAACAAGATAGGATCTAAATTTATCA